GGAGATCTTGCTGTTTTTTTATTCCCTGCTAAGCAGGGAAAAAACAGCAAGATCCCTTAGTAAAAGCACCACATATTACATTCACTAACACTTGGTAGGCACACAGTTAACCCCTTGATCACCCCTAAATGTTAACCCCTTCCTAACCAGTGTCATTAGCACAGTGACAGTGTATAGTATTAGCACTGATCACTGCATTAGTGTTACTTTTGATGTCAGTGTCAATTAGTCAGTTAGTGTACCCCCTAGCCAGTGTCAGCTAGTGTCAGATTGCCCACCACGGTGATCGCTGCCATTACTAGGTTAAGATAAAGAAAAAAAAATTCCAATATATACCATTGTTTGTTCATGCTATAACAATTAATATACACTTATTAGGAATTTTGTTCACCAAAGACATGTAGCATAATACATTTTGTACTAAATCTATGAAGAAATTTGATTTAGTTTTTTTATAGGATATGTTTTGTAGCAAAAAGTAAAAAATATTGGGGGGGGGGGTTCACATTTTTTCAGTTTTTTTTCATTTATATAATAAAAAATAAAAACCCCAGTGGTGATCAAATTCCACCAAAAGAAAGCTCTATTTGTGTGAAAAAAAATTATATAAACTTATTTGGGTATAGTGTTGCATGACCACGCAATTGTCAGTTAAAATAGTGCAGTGCCGCATAGCAAAAAATGGCCTGGTTATAAAGAGGGGTAAATCTTCTGGATGTCAAGTGGTTTATAGGCAGCCATAGCCCAAGGAACCCCTACACACTTCTGGAGGAACACTGGTTGAGAATGGCTGTTTTATAGTGAGTACTATACTTCTAAAGCAGTGGTTCTCAACCTGTGGGTCGCGACCCCTTTGGGGGTCGAACGACCCTTTCACAGGGGTCACTTAAGACCATCAGGAAAACACATATTTCCGATGTGTAAAGAGCAGCTGCTGTGTAGAAAGCAGCTACTGTGTAGAAAGCAGCAGTATTGGAGGTAAAACGACACTTCATGACTTATAATTACTGGGTAAATAATTTTATGGTTGGGGGTCACCACAACATGAACTGTATGAAAGGGTCGTGGCATTAGGAAGGTTGAGAACCACTGTTCTAAAGGGATACCAGAAGTGCTGTGCACTGGGTCTGGCTATAGTCAATTAGATGGCTATAGTCAATATACTTATGTGGAGAATGAACATAAAATGTATTTGGTTTTAATATGTACAAAACCTTCTAGATCTCACTAAAACTTGTAAGTCACATGACTTGCTACCCTAGCAGACCTTTTTATGATACTAATACAGTATGTCATACTACTTTACGTATATACTGTAGGTGTTATCATATGTTGTGTTAGTAAGGCTGGATTTAGTTTTTTCTTTCCCACTAGGCAAAAGTTTGCATTGCCTTGTGTAATAGCAGATGTTTTTGGCGACACATTTCTTAGGATATAATACATAAGTATAATATAACAGTATTTGTGCATGTAATGCAATATATAGAGTGGTAAGGAAAAGTATGTGAACCCCTCAGAATTGACAGGTTTTCTGCAGTAAGGCCCCTTTCACACGGGGGGGGATGTAAATGGGCTTACACGTATGTAAATGGGCTTTCCCAGTGGGGGATTTGCTGGTGATCCCCGCTGGACAAGCGGATGACAGGTCTGTGTCCGCTACACGTATGCAGAGCGGACATGGCCCACTAGCCTCTATGGGCTGTCAGATGGAAACAGACCACTTGTCCGGATCAGTATCGGATCGCAGTGCTGCGCGCTCCCAGGGAGCACGCACAATCAGGGTGCGGGGAGGCCATTTATAAACAGCACCCGACCCCGCACTGCCTCTGTCTGGCCTTTTATATACATGGGCCGGACAGGAAGTGGTTAATAGTAAAAAGGTCCGGTCCGAGCATGTAGGCCCTTTACAAAATAATCTAGAGTGGGAGACTGGAGACAAAGAGAAGGCAAACTTATTAAATACCTTTTTCAGCTCTGTGTACACAAAGGAGCATGGAGGAGCTCTTGTCCATAATGGGCATGGTATTGACACAGCTCCAGATGATCCACATTGGCTCACAATCAATATGATCCAAAAATATTTAGACAGAATAAAGGTAAATAAAGCACTTGGACTGGATGGCATACAGCCACGGGTCCTTAAAGAATTGAGCTCTGTCATTTCAAAGCCATTGTTCATAATTTTTAGGGACTCTTTAATGACTGGCATAGTACCACTGGATTGGCGTAAGGCCAATGTGGTGCCAATTTTTAAAAAGGGGTCAAAATCTTTACCAAGTAATTATAGACCTGTTATTTTAACTTCTATAGTTGGGAAGATACTGGAGAGTTTAATAAAAGACCACATAGATGAGTTCCTGCTGGAAAAAAATATTTTAAGCAACAGACAGCATGGATTCATGAAAGACAGAAGTTGTCAAACAAATCTGATTTCTTTTTATGAGGAGTTGAGCAAAACCTTGGACAGAGGGGTGGCGGTGGATGTGGTATACTTGGATTTTGCAAAAGCATTGGACACAGTTCCCCACACACAGCTAATTGTAAGGTAAAGTCTACAGGCTTGGAAAAATCCGTATGTAAATGGGTAGAAAACTGGCTAAAAGATCGTATTCAAAAAGTAGTGGTTAATGATTCATACTCTGAATGGTCTGGGGTCATTAGTGGTGTACCCCAAGGTTCAGTGTTGGGACCCTTACTTTTTAACATATTTATAAATGATATAGGGTCTGAGAATAAAAATCCCATTTCAGTCTTTGCAGATGACACCAAGCTGTGCAGTGGAATAATGTCTTTACAGGATGTCTCCAACTTACAAGCCGACCTCAATGCACTGTTTAATTGGGAAACTATGTGGCAAATGAGGTTTAATGTTGATAAATGTAAGGTTATGCACTTGGGGCTAAGAATATGCATGCATCATACATACTAGGGGGAGTACAACTGGAGGAATCAATGGTGGAGAAGGATCTGGGAGTTCTGGTAGATCACAAGCTTAATAATGGCATGCAATGCCAAGCTGCGGTTTCTAAAGCGAGCAAAATCCTCTCTTGTATTAAAATAGGTATAGACTCCAGAGAGAGAGATATCATATTACCCTGTACAAATCATTAGTAAGACCTCATCTGGAATATGCAGTTCAGTTTTGGGCACCGATTCACAGAAAGAACATTGGGGAACTGGAGAAAGTACAGAGAAGGGCAACCAAACTGATAAGAACCATGGATGAGATCAGCTATGAGGAAAGATTAGAGGAACTGAATTTATTCTCTCTTGAGAAGAGGAGATTAAGGGGGAATGTGATCAACATGTATAAATACATCAGTGGTTCATATAGTGAACTGGGTGTAGAGCTATTCACTCTGAGGTCATCACAGAGGACAAGGGGGCACTCTTTACCTCTGGAGGAAAAGAAATTTAATCTACAAACACAGAAAGGTTTCTTCACAGTGAGAGCTGTGAAAATGTGGAATAGACTCCCTCATGTGGAATGCATGCCACTCCAAGGAGCGTCTAGCACAGCAGCATCCATGTAGTAGGGGTAACAAGGCTGAGTACACCAGGTGCGGGGCATAGGCACTTTATTTGTGAGTGAGATTTAAATACATTTACCCCCAATAAAATTACCAATTTTACACTATGGAAGATCCTCTTTCTTTGCTTTTTTTTGTGGTGACATATTTATCCCAAACTTGCGGAGATCTGGAGATAACTGGCTCATTGGAGACTGTCCCTAAAGCGTTACAGACCACTCTAGAGATAGATGGTCATTGGCTAAGGGTGAGTCCATGTGGGGCAGCTTGTGGAGCACTTTGAGATGATTGATGAACCAAGACACTGCAATTAAGTCGAGCACATGCACTTGTTTCACTAATTTGGGACTTTTTTATTAATGGCATTTTATGCTGTGTATATATATATATGCACATGATTATATTGATGCGCAGTCTGTTTTGTTTTTAGTTCATATGTATTGTGGCACGGAACACAATTACAGGACTGCTGCAAGAGTTTATTTTGTTTTTGCATACTTATTATTGCATGTCCAATAGCGCATGAGCACTTTTATAAATATCTAATTTCTTGTGCCTTTATTGAACACACGTATTAAACATATACAGTGCTGAAGGTTAAAAGTAATTGAACCCTTGGCGTTAATAGCTGGTCAAACCCTCTTTTGGTAGCAATGATTTTCAGCAAGTGCTTTCAGTAGCTCTGCATCAGACCTTCACAACAGGAGACATTTTTGACCATTCCTCTTTACAAAACTGCTCAGCTCAAACACATTTGTAGGATACATCTGGTGTGAACAACTCTCTTGAGGTCATTCAACAGCATCTCTGAGGTTAAAGTCTGGGCTCTTATGGGTTACTCCAGAAGGAGCATTTTCTTTTTCTGAAGCCAGTCTGTGGTGGATTTACTTCGATGTTTAGGGTCATTGTCCTGCCGCATCACCCAACGTCTACTAAGCTTCAGCTGGTGGATAGCTTATTTGTAAGATTTAGTCATTGTCTATGTAGTCTTTTTACAAATCTAGTAATTCTAAAAAACTTACAGTGGCATAGCACGACACACCTGGCCCTAGTGCAATAGGTGGGCCAAGGCCCCTGGCCTTTACATACCACAGCTCCAGAAATAATATCCTCAACCCTTATGACTCCCCCTGAAGCTAACGTATCCAGCCCATTACTTCACATACCCCTTGAACAATTCCTATACCTCCTTCTGCTTTGTACAGTATTTTCCTCCAGAAGAAGCCATTTTAGCTGTATACTTGCTGAAGGTAATGGCAAAAGTGAGGGAATTTGGCTGTGACTAGGTATGTCCTAGGGCTCCACAAGAAGCAAGGGCTAAGCTGCAAGCCATGATTTTGTTTAGCAAATTAATGAGATAAGTGTTTCTTTTGTAAAGTATTTTGTATATTTTTTTAAAAAATATATGTTTTGGATGAATAAATTGTGATTGTTTTTATTCATTTGACTTGTATTTTTTATGTTTTTCAGATCCAGGGACTGCCTTTTGGGCAGGTTCTGTTAACCAGTGATGGTCCTATGCATAATAGCACTGGTGTTCCGTTTTTTTATGTTACACCTAAGGCAAGCTTCTTCTCTGATTTGATGAAAAATCCAGTTGCTTCTTTCACATTTGCAGATCCAGATGGTGAGGTGTGCAGGTAATCCCAACCACATGTAAGATTATCTTTTTTTTTTTTTAAGTACATCCCATTTCCATCATCTTTTTGGCTTTCTTTTGAAATTTTTGTGCAGTGTAGCAGGGAAGCTGAGGCTTCCCTTAGGTGACCAAAACTGCCCCAATTCAACCCCAGTGGTTTAATGCCTTAAATGATGTTTGAGTAGCCATTTATGTATATCCTAAGTTTGCAAGTGATTGGTTTCAGCTCTCAGTGATTGTGATTATTCACTAAGAGGTGACCATTGATGGGCTTTAACATTCCGAAATGAAGAAATATATATTCTTTACAAGCATCAAATTATTTAGTTTCTATTAAAACATGTTAAAATACTTTTCAAAACAGAACAAATAATTCTGACCTGGGGATGGTCTGAAGGGATACTTTTTTAAATGGGTGGTAAATCCATTTGGAGGTATAGGCTCTTGCCCATTTGGGAACTTCGGTATGGAAATGGTTATAAAAGAAGATGTGTGACCAATAATTAGAGTGATACTACTGTGAGAGTGATCAAGGAAACTCATTGAAAACTTTAAGTTTCATATACAGTATATTGATGTGTTTGATTGTAGTGAACGCCATATATAATCTATGCAATGTAATGCTGTATGCATCATATCTCAGTAACGGTCTATATGAAGGCACTATGAGAAAGCCTCGACTTAGGCTTGGTGCCCATTCATTTCAATAGGTTGCCCTGCCTGTGAGAAATGCAGGGAAAGAAGTCCCTGACCTTTTTGTAATATTGTGTCACACTGAACCGCATGGTGCTTGGCACGCAGAGATGTGAACCTAGCCTTAGTGGGGTTTGTTACATTGGGAAATGTATTTTAATGGATTTTATTAAGAAGTGAATAGATTGTTTTGGGTTTTTTTTGTCACAAAAAATAAACTAAAATTGTGGTGGGACAGCTTTGTAAAGAAACACGTAGAATGGCTCAGTCAAAAGTGAAAGCAGTTCCCTTCAGATGCATATCCCCCAACTTTATAAGATGTGAATAAGGAAACATTATAGCATAATGTAGGCAAAGAACAAACTTCTGCCATGCCCCAGCCATGGACCATGAAGAATTAGTACCTTAAAATATGACTGGTTGAAGTGATATTAAACCCTTTTCATGGTCTAGTGTCAGGCTCGGAAACCAGTGCCTGTGACAATAGAGAGGTTTACAGGTAGTCAGCTAGAAACAGTGGCGTCCCAAGGGAGGTGCGGGCGGTGCGGCCCGCACTGGGTAACACAGACCGCACGGGGTGGCACCTGACCCACTCCTCGAAAAGGTAAATTGTAAAGCAAGCCGACGACCCCTGCAGGATGGATCCGATCCATCCTGCGGGGATTGTCGGCTTTCTTTACAACTTACCTTTCAATGGAGCGAGTCGGAGTCACCCCGTATAGGTTGCATGCCGACAATCCCCATAGGATGGATCAGATCTGCGGATTGGGGAGCATAATGGATCAGACTCCGATCCATTATGCTCAATCCGCAGATCCGATCCATTCTGTGGGGATCGTCGGAGGGGGTGTCACCCAGTGTTACCACACTGGGTGACACCAACCCTAGGGACGCCCCTGGCTAGAATGTACAATATGATCCCCCAAGTGGATGACGCAGGCTCATCTGAGGCATGGGTCTAAGCAGTAACCAGTATTCACCAGAGCTGATGGCTGATGGCGGAGATGAGTTTTCTGCATGTTAGTATCAGATTGCAGTCTTCAGGATCGCCCTACCCCAGAGTCAGCAAGCCAGGGTCCGGTAGCAGATATATTAGGTAGGGATCAAGCAGAAGCGTAGTCAGTAGACAAGACAAAGGTCAGTAACAAGTAGTAGCTGGATCTGATCAGACGGAAGCATAGTCTACGAACAAGCCAAGGGTCAGTATCTAGTGGTAGCAAAGATAAGGACAACAGCAGGTATGCACGGAATAAGATAGCAGCTGAAGCAAGCACAATAATCTGACAAACAGGCAGTTCAAGGGAAGAGCAAAGGTTCAAGGTTCTAGAGAAACAATACACAAGCTAAGGTTGTCCAAGGAATCAGCCAGGGAGGTGTTTAGCACAGCAAGAAAAGCCACAGCCAGACACTGCAAAGTTTGCAGGTTCAGACCCAGGTCCTGACACCCTTACAAATACCCATTGATGTGATTAGCCTTTTGTGATACACAGGGATAAAGAAAATCTTCCTACATAAGCTGTACCTCTTTATCTACGGCTCTCTCTTATCCACAGCTTATTTTCTTTAAAGCGGAGCTCCTCCCAAAAGGGAAAATTACACTTTAACAACTTGTCCCCTGCTTCCTGTTAATAATTGGCACCATTGGGGAGCGGGTACCCAATTTTTACAGGTACCCGCTCCCATTTACGCTCTGACCACCAGATGCGGAAGTTCTCCTCCCTCACCGCAGTCTTCTGGGGCATGTCAGCCGGGTGCCCACACTTCAGGTGCCAGCACCGGGGACAGAGGACAACCGGTGAACCCGGCTGGGGTGATGACAACACTGGATCGTGGGACAGGTGAGTGGCTGTTTTTTAAAAGTCAGCAGCTACAGTTTTTTCAGCTGCTGACTTTTATTTTTTTTTCAGGAGACTGGAGTTCCGTTTTAAGAGGTAATGATTATTTGTAAAGAACCGATGTTTTCAGAAAATTGATGGGCAGGCATTGGTGCAGAGTTGGACTCAGTTAGCCTTCCTGGCTCTGTCATTTGTCTTGTGATGTCACTTCCAAAAGTTCTTAGGACAGCCTTCTTTCCGGCCTATGTCAGATCAACGTCAAATTGTCATTCTTCCTAGAAATGTAATTTAGAATGTAATGGTAAAGCATACCTTGCATCTAAGTCAAAGGTAAGGGAAAAGTGAGTATATTATTAGTAACTATGCATTTCTGGCAAATACAAATTTACAAGTCTTGCTAGGGAAATACGCATGCGTTGTACCTTACAAATACTTTGGAAGTATCTACTATACATAGTTTACTTTTTCAGAAAAAAATTAAAAGGTGAAATAACCTTATACCCTCCACACCCACCCCAGTCTCCACTGTACTTACCTACATGGTGATGGGCTCTCAGTGCCAAAGTAGCTGGTGTAGCAGTCCAGGGATTTGAAACCCCACTTTTCTTCCCCTTCTTTCTGTAGAGCTTCCAGGACAGATCAGAACAATTCTGATTCTGATCAGCACCGTCATGTGACTGCTTTGACCAATAAGAATTGCTCCGATCTGTCCCGTAAGCCCTACAGAAAGAAGGGGAAGAGCGAGGATTTTAAATTTCTGGATTTAAATTTTTTCTGAAAAGGGGAATTAACCCTTTAAAGGAAAACATTCAAATCTGCTTAATGTTAGGTTCTTCAGTGTGAAAAAATTAAAAGTCAGCAGCTACAGATACTGTGGCTGCTGATGTTTTTTTAAAAAAAGGCAAAAACCTGTCCAGGGATCAAACACTGTCCTCACCTGGGACGGTTCTTTGACAATCTTTGGGTCCCTGGCTCTGGCATATTTACTGTGGAAAGCTGACTGTGATTCCTTGCAGCTTCACAGCCAGCTTCCCACTGCGCATGCGTGAGTTGCAGTGCGCTTTGTGAGTGGATTGGCAGCCTCATGGGACTTTTGATGTGTCTCCGTAGGTTGCAGGTAGGGGTTGGAATTTAAGGTGGAAGTGGGAGCATGTACCTGCCAGCAATTTGTACTCACTCCCCCCCTCCCCCCAAAAAAAAACTCTCAAAAGAAGGAGGGGGGAAGAAACTTCCCTTTTTAGGTAAACTTCCGCTTTAAAGTACGACTAAAGAGAAAACTTTTTCTTTAGTTTTGGGTAGGGTGTAGATGGATTAGAACCTATATCAGTTTTTATTGCTGTCTGTGCCCCCGTTAGGGAGCTTCACCCTCTCTATTTGTCCTGCTTACCATTATCATTGAAAGTGAATGTAAAAGAAAATCCCAAATTTTGAGTTGTCCCCAGAAAAGTAATAGTTACATAGTTAGTATGGCTGAAAAAAGGCAAAAGTCCATCCAGTTCAACCATAAAAAAAAAAGTTATAATCCTATACCCACAGTTGATCCAGAGGATACAATTTGCTCCTGCAGGGAAGAAAAAAAGCCTTCCTGATCCCTCGAGAGGCAAACGGATATTCCCTGGATATATAGAGGGCAAATCTTCCTATGGGAAACACTAGTTCTGGTTACTTGAGGGTCCGCAAGAGAGTCTCTTAATTTAGTGATTTCCTCTCACTTCCTTTTTTGGCTATTGGACAGGAAGTGAAGGGAAAACTCCACAATAAGATACAGATGGCAAAAAAAACTGGCAGGGGTTATGACTCTCCCATGCTTCAGAGAGATACATTTATGAAAACTGCAAAAGAAAATGGACAGTTTTTAATCATTCATATTGGACTAAAAAATCCTGCATTTTTATTTAGCTTTTTTATATTTGATGTAATAAAAATTATAATAAACTGTCAAAGGAGTTATTAGGTTCTTGATAAACCTTGCACACTGCTGGACACTCTGCTGATACCAAATATGTGGTGTAAACAGCAGATGTGGTTGCTAGGTCTACATACTGTCACTTCTGTACTTATACAGTATATAATAGTCTTTGTATACACCATGAAAATAACTGCTCTACATTCCAAAGCCACTGGTGTATTTCTATATATAACTTGTATGCTGTAATACAACTCCATTAGAATGGTTTCACTTTCATTTCAAGCCCCAAGGTCTTCTTACAACAGTTGTGAATTTTTCAGGGTTTAATAAATCTGAAGATCATTAAAGTAGACCTATAGGCAAAAACTTTATTTTTTCATTTTGGATAGAGCAAGGGAGGGTTATAACCCCTGTCAGATTTTCTTTTGCCATGTGTGTCCTATTTTCAGAAATTTCCAGAGAAATTACTTTTCAGGGACAACTCAAAATTTGGATCTTTCACTTTCAATGATAATGGTAAACAGGACAAATAGAGAGGGTGTATCTCCCTAATGGCAGCACAGACAGC